CCCGCCGCACCGGGCCGCCGGCAGGGGGCGCTCCGCCGGCCGGGGCCCAGGCGGCGGGAGGCGGCGGTCGTGGCGGCGGGAGGCGGCGGGAGGCGGGCGGAGAAGGAGGCGGGAGCTGAGCTGAGCGGGGCGGGCGGGCGGGCGGCGGCGGGGCCCGAGCCCGAGAAGATGGCGGTGCGGAAGAAGGACGGCGGCCCCAACGTGAAGTACTACGAGGCCGCGGACACCGTGACCCAGTTCGACAACGTGCGGCTCTGGCTCGGCAAGAACTACAAGAAGGTAAGCGGGTAGCGCTGCGCGGGGACGATCGGCCGGGACAAAGGGCCCGGGGACGCCGATCCCGGGGGGCCCAGCCCACCCTGTGGCCGCCGCGCCCCTCCCCGAGGCCTCCCCGCGCCTCCCGCTCGCCCCCCCGCGCCCCTCCCCCACCCCGCCCCCACCGTGCCCTCTGCCCGGGTGCAGCCGGCGGCGGCTCAGGGCGGCGGCCTGGGCCCCGGCAGCCCTCGCCCTCCAGGCTGACCGGTGGTGCCGCCGCCGCCGCGCGCCTCCTGCCCTCCGGTGTGCGAGCCTCGGGGTCCTTCAGACCGGAGCCGCTCCGCCGCCGATCCAGACACCGGCGCGGCCCAGGCCTCCCCCGGTGCTTTGTGTACGTCCGTAGACAGATGGCAGAGCAGGAGGGTAGACAGGCGCGGAGCAGGCCGTTGAGAGCGTCTCTACCTGGGGAAATCACCTGTCTCCCGGGGTTACACTCCCCTCCTCCTAAAGGGCTGCAACCCTCTCAGGGGACAGGGCACGGGAGTCCAGGGCAGCAGCCCCTCCAGTCCTCCTTTCACAATGAAGTCGCTCTGCAAGTCAGCCTGGCATCGCTTTGGGTTTGAGGTCCAAGAGGCTAGGATAAGCTTCATATCGCTAGTCCCCACCCCCACCCCGGAACTGGAAATAAGGATGGGGAACAAAAGGGTTCAAGAAGCCCTACCTGTCTTATTTTAATATTTAAACCAAATCTTATTCTTGTGTCTTCATGGCGTCTGGGCTTTTCTTTTTTTTTTTTTTTAACCTTTTATATGGCCTGGTTCCTCACTAACCCCAGCTAAGGGTCCTTTTTTCCTACCTTCGTTTTACAGCCCCCCCCCCCCCAACTCTTGCTACTCCAGCTTTGCAGCCAGCCTGTCAGAAAACAGTGAACAGCTTCAGGAAACCCCACTAATCCTGGTTTGAGTTTGGCCCTGAAACCGTTTGGGGGTCTCTGTGGGTGTCAGCTCTTGACAAACAGCTGTTGGGGTCTGTGACTTGTGTATACCCTCAGCATGAGGCTCCGGTTCCCGATCTTCTGCCTTTGACCTTTTAAAGGGAAATCAGTCTAGGGTCTTAGTGTGAAGCCCCTGAGGGCATTGACAGCTGCGACTTGCTTCAGCTTTCAAGTGTTTTAACTCTTTGTCATTTTCTTCTCCCCCCCCCCCTTTACACCTCCCACGGAGAGGTGCTGACTCCGATTAGGGTAGAGGAAATCGGGGTCAAAAGGTAAAGAGAAAGTAGCTTCCTGGCTCATTGAGCAGAACAGAAAGGTAGGATTCTCCAGGTAGCTTGAAATGGAAGTGTTTGACGCTACCTATCCCTTGGAACGGGATAGACGGCTGTTGTCTTGCTACGTATTATCAAGTGGTCTGAGATCCTTGCTAGAGAGGAGACCCTACAATGCCAACCATGTCCAGCTTCAGTAGAAGCTTAGTTTTTAACTGAGCTTGCCCAGCCTCACCCACCCTCCTCCTCCTTGCTCTCTTAACACACCATTATGGACAGAAGCCTAGTCTTTTATCGTGTTCCCCCAAGAAATACATTGTTGTATCGCTTAGAGCTTTAAAGGGGTTTTTGTTTCCCTTGGTCTCCTCTCAACTTTCAGAATTTTTACAGTTGGTGGGAGATGAGATGCAGAGATGGCAGCGTCCTGCCATTCCAGCGTCAGGGCACAGCCAAGGAAGAGTATAAAGCTTCCCTCGCTGCCAGTCCCGTCCCAGCAACTGGGCTGGTGGCAGTAGAATCCAGTCCCTCCTGAATCCCTCTTTATATAAACTAGACACTCGGAGGGGAAAGGCACAATTCTGTCTGTTCCAGACTCACGGGAGAGACATGGGAGTTGGTAGAGAATTTATCTGGAATCTGTTTCTCTTCCCTTTCCCTCCTTCCTCAGTACATACAAGCAGAACCACCAACCAACAAGTCTCTGTCTAGCCTGGTGGTGCAGTTGCTCCAGTTTCAGGAAGAGGTTTTTGGCAAACATGTCAGCAATGCACCGCTTACTAAACTGCCGGTGAGTTCAAGGGGAGAGGGACCAATCCTCCGAACTGGGAAGCGGTTTTTTGTTTGTTTTGCTCTTTAATTTTTTTTTTCTATGTCCCTGTAATCCAGAATTAGGGAGGTTGAACCTGGAGAATCGAAAGTTGGAGGCTGGCCTGATCTATATAACAGTTCAAAGACAGTGTGTGTAGTCTCATGTCACAAAACAAAAACAAAATCCACCTTTTTTTTTTTTTTTTTCCAAATTTCGAAATTTTGGGAGATTTATTTATTTTTTTACTGTCTCCATCAATGGTCAGCGCATTATAGCTTGACCTAGCCCACAGTGGATCATTCCTGTTATTTTAGAAAAACGCCACAACAAATACTCTGAGAATGTCAGGTTTTAGTCCCTCAGTGTCTGTCTCATGGTTATGCTTAAGTTTGGGGGCTGAAGAGATAGCTCAGCGGCTAAGAGCACTTGGAGAGCGCCTGGGTTCGATTCCTAGCACCCACATGGCGGCTTACAAACATCCATGGCTTCAGTACCAGGGGACCTGATACCTTCAGGGTGCTCATGAGATGCACAAGCAGGAAAAGCACTCATGTAAATAAATAAAAACTCACTCGCCGGGCAGTAGTGGCGCACACCTTTAGTCCCAGTACTTGGGAGGCAGAGGCAGGTAGATTTCTGAGTTTGAGTTCGAGGACAGCCTGGTCTTCAGAGTGAGTTCCAGGACAGCCAGGACTACACAGAGAAACCCTGCCTCGAAAAACAAAAACAAAACAAAAAACCAAACAAAACCACTCACTCATGTAAAATAAAATTTGAAAAGTTAAAAAAAAGCCAAAATAATGTGAGGTTTTAGGTCAGATATGGTGACACACACCTGGCATGTCCACTATTTAGAAGTCTGGTTCAGGAAGATTATAGATTCAAGCTAGCCTAGGACACTTAGCAACATCCTGTCTTCAACTTTAAGAAAAGGGGTACTGGAGGTATAGTCCTAGCAGAGCACTTGTCTAACCTGTGAGAGACCCTGAATTCTGTCTTCAGTGTCACAGAGGAAGGGGTGGCCCAGAACCTAGAACTACCCACATGGTGGAAGGAAATAACTGACACCCTGTAATGTCCATTTGTGCACACACATACATAACATACACACACACACACACACACACACACAGAGCATACATACATACATACATACACATATATACACACATACACAGAACACATACATACATATATAACATACATATACATAGAACATGTATGTATACACACATGTATGCACATAATATACATAACATACACACAACATACATATACATACACACATAACATACACAGAACACATATATCTACATACACATCATACACATATACATATACACATATAACATACATGTACACAAGCAAATATACACATACATATATACATATAACACATACATATTCATACACACACATACATACAGAGAGAGTCTCTAAATAGGTAAGTAAATGTTATTCCTTAAAAAGAGGCAGTGGAATTTAGATTTACATAAATTTGCCTTTAGTCTTTGTGTGTGTGTGTGTGTGTGTGTGTGTGTGTGTGTGTGTATACAATGTAACTTTCACATACTTCTTCCCTGTCTCAATTTTGTAGATCAAATGTTTCCTAGATTTCAAAGCAGGAGGATCCCTGTGCCATATTCTTGCAGCTGCCTACAAGTTCAAGAGTGACCAGGGATGGTGAGATGCCTTCTCTCTCCGCCTTTCATATTTAGTTAAGAGAGAATCTTTCTTTATTTCCTGGGATCCTTCTGAAGTGAAAGAACATGTAAAAGTCCTATGCGTCTCTTATTTTGATAGATCAGAAGAATAGATGTCATGGCCAAAATAGTCTCCAAGCATGAATGAATTGGGAATGAATTCTTCCAGAGGGGAGATTCTTAGAATGTCACCTAAACCTTTGTTGGTCCTTTTGGATTAAGTGTAGAGTGACTTATACATTTGAGACCAGAACACCTGGGTTCCCTGTGATTTGGGTGAAATTTGTTACAAGAATACCTCTTAATTTCCCATTAGGAAGTTATATACCTTTGGGGCTCAGTGGTTAAGAACACTGGCTGCTCTTCCAAAGGACTCGGTCCCCTGCCGTGCAGCCACATGGCTGCCCACAGCCTTGTGTGACCCTGCTCCCAGGGAATCCCGTGACTTCCTCTGGCCTCCACAGGCATGTTGTGCACATGGTGCACAGACAGACAAGCAGGCAAAAGACCCACACACGTAAGATGACATAAACTTAAAAAAGAAAAACAAAAAGGTCTTGTACCCTCAGCTTTTCCCCAGACATAAACTTACTAGATTATTGTCTCTTGACAAGGCGGCGTTACGATTTCCAGAATCCATCACGCATGGACCGCAATGTGGAAATGTTCATGACCATTGAGAAGTCTTTGGTACAGGTAATACACAAGCGCATCCCCCATCCTTTCCCTCCCCCCAGTAAGAATACAGAACACCCCTTCCTCATCTCGGCTACTTCCTCTCTTCACAGAACAATTGCCTGTCTCGACCTAACATTTTCCTGTGCCCAGAAATTGAGCCCAAACTGCTAGGGAAATTAAAAGACATTGTTAAGAGACACCAGGTGAGTGGGAGTCAGGGTGAGTAACTCGGAGGTTTCTGAAGTAGGTGACTGGTTTATACATTGTCACCACTGTTAGCACTGTTTCTCTTAGGAAGCAGCCTGTAGCACCATGTTTTCTCCTGTGCTGCAGTCTTTCTGGTTAAAGCAAGAACTAAGTCTCTGACCAGCACTTGCCTCGATTGCTCTGTTCCCAGGCTTGATGAGTTCATGACTATTCCCTGACCCCCCTTTGGCCTGGGTTATAAAGAGCATATTCTACTGGGTGATAGAAATATCTGATTTCAGACAAATCTAACCTTGGAATCAGGTGTAGTGGTGTACCCTACTTTGGGAAGTAGAAACAGAAGGATCAAGAGTTCAAAGTTATCCTTGGCTATGTAGTGTGTTCAGGTCTACCTGGTGTATCAAGTGATACTGTTAAAACAACCTTAGTAAAATCTCTGCTCTTTGGAGCGCCTTTTAAATAAGCAGATATTACGGATAGGCACTCATAGCCCACTTGCACTCTCCCATAGGTAGGATGGCTCAATGAGTAGAGTAAGTGCTTGTTATGCAAGCATGAAGACCAGAGTCTGGATCCCCAGAACACATGAAAAATGTGGGTGTTATGCCTGATACAGATCAGTGCCAAGAGGGAGGAGCAGGTAGATCCTGGGGCTTGTTAACTGCCAGGCTAGCTGACTGTCAGAGGTTTCTGAGGCAGGTGGCTAGTGGAGAGTAATAAAGGACACTTGCGGTTGACCTGTAGCTTATGCGGCCACACTCAGGCAACACACTACACATGTGTCCAGTATGTGGGGTATCTGTGCAGAGGGTTATCTGTAGGGATATTCTTCAGCCTTTCTCCCATGTTAACACATCATTAGTTCTGTGTTTCTTTGCCACTTAGGTGGTGTTGCAAGAAAATACAAATAATTTTAATACCACTTCAGGAAAGATGTCATTTGAGAGGCAGATCTGTGGTTATATCTTACTCGTTGTTCTTAACCCGAGAGTAATTCAAAAGGAAGTAGGTTTACCGCTTTTCCTTGTGCTCCTAGGGAACTGTCTCCGAGGATAAGAGCAACGCCTCCCATGTTGTGTATCCTGTCCCAGGGAACCTAGAGGAAGGTGAGGCTTGGCTTTTGGTGGCCTCTGCCATGATGGCTTGGGCTATTGCATAGAGGACTGCTTATATCCCATATAGCACCTATCCAGCCTTGCAATTCTGAGTTCTTGTGACTGAGTCTCCTGCACATCAGCAGAGTGCTTAGTTAGAGCCCGTGTCTAGTCATTTTTCCCCTCAGCGTCTCTCTCTCTCTCTCTTCTGTCTATCCTCAGAGGAATGGGTACGGCCAGTCATGAAGAGGGATAAACAAGTTCTCCTGCACTGGGGCTACTATCCTGACAGGTGAGGTCCTGACAGGTGAGGACGGGCTCTCGGGAGCCAGACACAGGTCCACGTGGCAGAGCAAGGAGGCCCAAGTCAGTTGTCGGTTTGCTTTTTTGGATATAGACTTTTGCCATGTAACCCAGGCTGGTAAAGAATTTACAATATAGATGGTACTGGCCTCAAACTTGTAGCAGTCCTTGTACCTGAGCCTCCTGAGTGCTGGGATTAAAGGCGTGAGCCACCCACTGACTTTGTGTGTGTGTGTTTGTTCCCCTTTTCTTTGCTTGCTTTTGTCTTTTTAGGTTTAATTTTTATTTTATGTGTATGGATGTATTGCGTGCATGTGTGTCTGTACACCTTAAACTAGAGTTATAGACAGCTATGAACCATGTGGGTGCTGGGAACCGAACCTGGCCCTCTGAAAGAGCAGTAGTTGTTCTAAATGCCGAGCCATCTCTCAAGTCACTGCTTTCGGTGTTTGTTTATTTTAGTACCAAGCTCAGCTGGAACTTCTGCCTTAGTCTCCTCAGTGCTTGGATTACTGAGGAGTACCACCATGCCCAGTTTCCAGTGTTTGTTTTGTTTTGCTGGTTTTTCAAGATAGGATTTCTCTATGTAACAGTCCTGACTGTCCTGGAACTCACAGAGATGCATCTGCCTCTGCTCCCCAAGGTCTGGAGTTAAAAATGTGTGCCACCTTCGAGACAGCCTCACTATATAATTTCAGCCAACCTAAAATTCACCATGTAGATCAGGCTGGCCTTGAACTCAACAGAGATTTGCTTGACTCTGTCTCTGCCTCCAGTGTTCTAGGACTAAAGGTGTATGCCATCACTCCTGCTTAATATAATTTTTTGTTTGTTTGTTTTTGTTTTTGAGACAGAGTTTCTCTGTGTAGCCCTGGCTGACCTGAAACTTGCTCTGTAGACCATACTGCCTTTGAACTCAGAGAGATCTGTCTACCTCTGCCTCCCGAGTGCTGGGATTAAATGCATGCACAACCACCACCACCTGGCTATAATTTTTAAAAAAAATGTGTGTCTATTTGTGTGTTGGGGGCTGTGAGTGTGTATGTGCAGGTGTGCACGCCCAGAGTCAGGAGGATAACCTCAAGTTCATCTGTAAGAATGCTGTCCACATTCTTTAGGACAGGGTCTCTCATTAGCCTGGCACTCACCAATTAAGCTAGATTGGATGGCCAGAGAGATTTGGTGATCCTTCTATCTAAACCTTTGAAGCCCTGGAGCGGCAAATATAAGCCCAACATTGTTTGTTTATTTAATTTTATGTGTATGAGCGCCCACAGTTATGTATGTGTACCACATGAATGCCCGGTGTCTGCAGAGGCCAGAAGAGGAGGCCTGTAGAGCCTTCTGAACTAGAGTCACAGGTAGTTTTGAGACATAATGTAGGTGCTGGGAACTGATTCCCTGCTTTCTGCCAGAGCAGTTGCTCTTAACTGCTGAGCCATCTCTTCAGTCTCATGCCCAGCATTTTTATATAGGTTCTGGAGATAGAATTCAGGTCCTTATGCTTACTGACTGGTCATTCTCCAGTTCAGTTTTATGTTCCTTTTTATTATACATACATACATACATACATACATACATACATACATACATATTTAAGACAAGGTCTCATGTAGAGCTGTGGCTAGCCTGACTTGGTCTGTACACCAAACTGGCTTTGAACTCACAGAGATGCACCAGCTTCTCCCTCTTGAGTGCTGAGATTAGAGGATTGCTCTCCCATACTTGGCCTTCTTTTTTTTATTTGTGTGTGTGTGTGTGTGTGTGTGTGTGTGTGTGTGTGTGTGTGTGCATGCGCTTGCATGCATGCACTTGCATGTATACAGGATTGGGTCAGGATTGAGACCCTATGCTTTCCTTCCACTTTGGGTCCCAGAGATCTAGCAGGCTTGTGTGGCAAGCACTTTTCCCCAGAGTCATCCCTGTGGGTCATGTTCATGAGTTTTGATAAGTAAATGTAAAACAAAGGCAAGTGTGGTATCACACATCTGTACTCTCAACACTTTAGGAATCAAAGAAAGAAGATCAGGAAATCAAAGTCGTTTTCAGTTTCCTGGGAAGTTTAGAGCCAGCCTAAGCTATATAAAGTTATATCTTAGAACAAAAGTTAAAACCGTATAGTGGTAGGAAAATGTCTCCACAAATGTATATAATTACCCTGGGCTATCATGCAGCCTTGAAAGTGACATTATACAGTTAGTTTATAGGCAGATTTAAGTGAGAAAGGGAGAATAGCGGCTACAGCTACAGCTACCCAGAATGTAGAGACAGGGGCCTAGGACTTCTAAGCTCTTCCGGGAGACATAGTATGACCTCTTTTAGGGAACAAAAAAACCCCCAAAAAACAAAAAACAAAACAAAAACAAACAAAAAAACAATTAAATGTCAAGTGTAATATAACTGAAGTTACTTTTGAAGGAGTGGCTGATTATAGCCACCCCGATGCCCAGGTCACTGTGTGACCCAGGCTGACCTTAGACTCAAGGGAATCCTGCTTCAATTTCCCATAGCCACCTATGCTAGGTTGTTTTCATAGTTTTTGGAAAATCTTTTTGTCCTCCTGTGTTTAATTTGTTGGTTGATTGGTTTGCTTTTGGTTTTTGAGATGGACTCACTATGCTGTTCAGGCTGCATTAGACACAAGACTCTCCTGAGTGCTGGGATCCCAGGCTTGCGTCCTGTTTTATTGTTGATAGTTTCATGCATCCAAGAGCCTGTCTGTGCTCACCAAGCACCCTACCACTGAGCCACCCCTAGCCCTCACTTACATTTTTATTATGAGACAGGCTCTACACTGATCAGGACGGCCTTAAATTCTCCCTGTCATTGAGGCTAGCCTTGAACTTGCATCAATTTTCCTACCTCCACCTCCTGAATGTGGAGATTGTAGACATAAGTCACCACACCTACCAGCTTGAAATATTTTATGATTTGTTTTTATTGCCTGTGGCAAAAAGAATCCCAGTTTAATCGGGCAGATCAACAGTTGAATGTTCTTTGTAAATCAAAAAGGCTGTGTGTGTGAGTCAGTTGTAGAGCCTGCTAGTACCTGCAAGGCCAGGGTCCCTCTCCTCACTGAGAAGCGAGCAAGGCTGCGGGTTGTCCCCCTCACTCCTTCTCCGTCCCCACCTCATGCTGAATCTCTTCTGGCAGCTACGACACGTGGATCCCAGCGAGTGAAATCGAAGCATCTGTGGAAGATGCTCCCACTCCTGAGAAACCTAGGAAGGTGAGCTCTCCTGGTGCCCTCCACCGTGGGAAGAACACCCAGGACCAGACCTCTGGGGAGCTGGGACTCTGTAAGAGTTTCTAGACAGAGCCATAGCTTCTAGTAACTCTCAGACATGGACTGCCCTGTGTTTCAGGTCCATGCGAAGTGGATCCTTGACACTGACACATTCAATGAGTGGATGAATGAGGAAGACTATGAAGTCAGTGACGACAAAAGCCCAGTCTCCCGCAGAAAGAAGATCTCAGCCAAGACGCTGACGGATGAGGTAAGCTTCTGTTCCTCCTTCTCAAAGCTCTTAGCTTCCACCTGAGACAAGCCTCACTGGGAACTGGAGGGTGAACTGCTGTTCATTTCACTTCCTGTTGTGTAGGTAAACAGCCCGGATTCAGACAGACGAGACAAGAAGGGGGGAAACTACAAGAAGAGGAAGCGTTCTCCCTCTCCTTCGCCAACTCCAGAGGCTAAGAAGAAGAATGCTAAGAAAGGGTATGCTACCCATCCCGTGCCCTCACGTGCTGTCCTGATGCCATGTCTAAGGAAAGACAATGCTTTCTGAAGTCACTAGCCCCTGGCTGGGTGTCTGAGAGGAGGGTGAGGGGACCTTCATGAACCTGCTTGATTGTCTTAGTCCAGGTTATCTTTAAACTGAAGGAAAGCTTAGTCACCCAACAGAACTTCTGCATGTACAGTTTCTGTTCCACCCAGCTCTGCCCAGACTGTTCTCTCTCTTTCCTTCTTATAAACTCCTCTAACTTCCAAGGATGTCTCTTTTTCTTCCCAGACCCTCAACACCCTACACCAAGTCAAAGAGAGGCCACAGAGAAGAGGAGCAGGAAGACTTGACAAAAGACATGGACGAACCCTCTCCTGTCCCAAATGTGGAAGAGGTGACACTCCCCAAAACAGGTATGGGCAGGCTGAGCTTCCAGGCCAATCCCCACCCTGTCCTGTCCCTTCAGTGCCCAGCTCCCCAGGGACTGTTTTCCATATCTAGAGTAGCTTCTCCTCCACATCGCTGGCTAGTGAGGTTATCTCTTGCTTTATATCCATGTCTACTAGGCACCTGCTTTGCAACTAGTATCAGTTGTCTGCAGACTTTGTTTTTCTGTGCTGAGAATCAAACCTCAGACCTCTTGTGTACTAGCAAATGCTCTACCACTGAACTACATCCCCAACCCTCCAAATCCTTTATTGTATGTATTTGTATGTGTTAGCCGGTGGTCATCTTCAAATATCATTACTCAGTAGCTTCTACCTTGTGCTTTTAACATTTATTTGTGTGTGTGTGTGTGTGTGAACTTGCCGCAGTGTACATGTGGCAGTCACTGGACAACTTGTGGGAGTTGTTTTCTCTTTCCACCATGTGGGTTCCAGGGATTGGCAACAAGTACCTTTATGCACGACACCATCGTGCCAGTTTCTACCTTCTGTTCTGAGACCTGGGACTTGAAGGTTAGGTTAGTCTGGCTTGCCAGGAACCTTCAGGGATCTCTTCCTCTCTGCTTCCCCAGCATTGTGGTTACAGGTCTGAGCCACTGTGCCTGGATTTTTACATGGGTTATGAGGACTGATCAGATCTTCAAGCCTGTGGAGAAAGTACTTTACTGACTGAGCCATCTCTCTACCCTGATAGGTGTTTGATTATACAGCCCATCAATAAAATATATATTTCAAGACAAATTATGCAAATTATACTGCCAAAACCTCATTTTAGGACCATTTTAAAAGCATATGCAAACGTTATTATTTAAAAAGGGAGTAGGAGAAGGACTGGACTGTTGGCTCAGTGGTTACGAGCAATTACTGCTCTTTCAGGGGACCCAGGTTTGATTCCCAGTGCCACAATGGTGGTTCACAACTGTCTAATTCCAATACCATTGGACCCAGCACCCTCTTCTGACTACTGAAGGCACTGCATACAACATGCTGCACAAGCATACATTCTGGCAAAACAGTCATACACATATAACTCAAAAAATTAGGCTGGCTGGTGGTGGCGCACGCCTTTAATCCCAGCACTTGGGAGGCAGAGGTAGGCAGATTTCTGAGTTCAAGGCCAGCCTGGTCTACAGTGTGAGTTCCAGGACAGCCAGGGCTACACAGAGAAACCCTGTCTCGAAAAAATAAATAAATAAATAAAAATCTACCAGGGTGGTAGCACATGCAGAGGCAGGCAGATTTCTGAGTTCAGGGCCAGCATGGTCTACATAGTAAATTCCAGAACATCCAGAATTACACAGAGAAACCCTGTCTTAAAAAAAATAGTAAAAATCTTAAAAAGACATTTTAAACAGAGTTGGGAAACTGAAGAGATGGCTGAGCAATTAAGAGTGCTTGCTGTTTCCATGGCACCAAAATTTGGTTTTCAGCACCTATATTATGTGGTTCTCAAATGCCTATACCTCCAGCTCCAGAGGATCCAGATCTGGTCCTCTGTTCTAGGCTCTGTGGATACCTGCTTATGTGCGTCTGCACGCATGCCTGCATACACACACACACACACACACAAACCTTCTCACAGACACATGCAGATATATACATAAATAAAAATCACTATGAAAAAAGTGGAACTAGTGATGAATGCAGCAGCTCAGTAAGTAACAGTGCTTGCCACACAGGCCTAAAGACCTGAATTTGAACCCTGGAACCCATAGCAAGATTCAGGAGCTTGTGCCTGGAATCCTAACACTTCTACAGCAAAATGTGATGTGAACAGGCCCAAAGCTTCCATGGGAAGCATAGCAGAAACAACAGCGAGACTTTGCCTCAAAACCAGCTGGAAGGAGAGAACTGACTCCAAAAGTTACCCTATGACTTCCACACAGCAGCATGCAGCGTGGCTCGTGCCTGTGCACACACATGCACACACACACAACCAACCCATCAACTTGTCCATCCCTGGAAAGCAGAGTAGCTAGACTGGGCAGCTGTTTCGTAGAGCTTTTGCCCAGTGTGCAGGAATCCCTGAGTTGAGGACCATGTGCTGCAGCCCTGTGATCCTGGCACTGTGAGGCAGGGGAGCTGCTAGTGGAATGCTAGCCTCCACTACATATCAAGTTCTAGGTTAGCCTGGGATACGTGAGACCCTGTCTCTAAGTCCTGAGTACCATATAAAAAGCTGAGTGTGGTAGTGTATGCCACAGTCCCAGCCAGCACTAAGCTGGAGGCAGGAAGAACCCAGGTCCTTGCTGGCTAGCCAGTCTAACTGAATCAGTGGGCTCCAGGTTCACTGAGAAACTCGGTCTCAACAAACACAGGGAAGTGGTAGAAGATAACACAGTGTAGACTCTGACCTCTACATAGACACACATAGTGAATCTGAAATTTTTAAAAAGAGAAATGTTGGGTCTTGAGAAAAGTTTCAACAGTTAAGCACATACTGCTCTTGCAGAGGACCTGAATTCCCAGCACCCTCGTCAGGAGGCTAACACTAAATAAAAAAGCTCCAGCTGGTGCAGCTCTCTTCTGGCCTCCGTGGCACCTTTACACATGCTCCCATACATGTAATTATAAACTTAAAAAAAGACAGAAGAAGAAAAATGTGAAAGGTGGTAGGAACAACTCTAAAGAGAGACCCAGAATCTCCTCTGAGTCTGTCCGGCAGGAGGAGCCTTCCACAGGGAGTGCGGGGGTCAGGGGGAGCTGCACTACAATATTGGTTTGTGTCTGTCTCCTGTCCAGTAGCCTCAAATATCAAGAAATGTATTTCAGGGGCATTGGGAAGCTGTTTTCTCCTAAGCATTTTATATGAAATCAAGGGAGGGGAGTCTCCTCTGCTTTACAGCTTTGAAGATTAGGTTGGGGTACAGCTTATGGTGAACACTGCCTAGCAGGTACGGAGTCCTGCATTCTAGTCTCAGCCTTTCAGACAGTTTTAAAATATCTTTTTTAAATATTTGAGCTAGGCATGGTGACACATGATTTTAAATCCCAGCACTCAGAAGGCAGAGGCAGGGAGGGCTCTGTAAGTTGGAGACTAGCCTGGTCTACATTACAAGTTCCAGGACAGCCAGGTTTCATACAGAGACCCTGTCTTCAAATTTTAATTAATTAATATCTGACTGAAAGTGCTGATAAACACCTTTAATCCCAGCACTCAAAAAGCAGAGGCAGGTGAATCTCTGTAAATTCAAGGCCAGCCTGGTCTACATAGTGAATTCCAAGATAGCCAGAGCTACATAGTGAGACTCTGTCTCTAAAAAACCAAAACAATATTATTAAGAGCTAATCATTTAGCTGGGCAGTGGTGGCACACGCCTTTAATCCCAGCACTTGGGAGGCAGAGGCAGGCAGATTTCTGAGTTCGAGGCCAGCCTGGTCTACAGAGTGAGTTCCAGGACAGCCAGGGCTACACAGAGAAACCCTGTCTCGAAAAACAAAAACAAAAACAAAAAAAAACCCAAAAAACAAAAAATAACCTAATCATTTAACTAGGCCTGGTGGCATAGCATTATAATCTCAGTGACTTGCCTGGCTGAGGCAGGAGGATGTCAGTAGTACAAAATCGGCCTGGGCTGCAGAATGACCCCTGAGGCCAACCTGCATGACTAAAGGGGACTGTCTCAAAATAAAAAGGAAAGCCAAATGTGGTGACTCACGCCTGTGATCCCAACACTTGGCGGGCGGCAGAGGCAGGAGGATCAGGAGTGCAGAGCCAGCTTGAGCTATATAATGAACTCAAAACCAGCCTGAGCTGCTGAGTCTGTGTCTCTTTCTTTTAAAAAGCATTAAATAAATAAGTAAATAAAGATTTAGTTATGGATGTATTTCATGTATATGGTGTTTGTCTGCCAGTACAATTTGCACACCAGAAGAGGGCATTGGATTCTGTGGGACTACAGTTACAGATGACTGTGAGCCACCTTGTGGTTGCTGGGAGTTGAACTCAGGACCTCTGGAATAGCAGTCAGTGCTCTTAACCTGTCATTCTTCTCTCTAACCTGAGGCTCTTTGAAAAAGGCAAAACCAAAATAAGTTTAAGAGAAGAGAAAAAGAAGGAAGTGTTGGGGAGCTGGGCGTGGTGGTGGCACACACTGTCACCTCAGCACTCAGGAGCAGATGCAGAGGGTCAGGGCCATTCTTTACAAGTTAGAGGCCTGGAATACGTGAGACCCTGCCTCAAAACAAGACAAAGCAAAGCAAAACAAAACAAAACAAAAACAGGTTGGTGCTGGGACTGTAACTCTGGTAGAGCACTTACATTTACTTGCAGGAGGCCCTAGGCTCTGTTGCCAATAGTATATCAAGGGATGGTATCTAACTACTGACCTAGTATGATCTCGTTCAAACTCAGCCTGTCAGAAGATTGTACAGGGAAACAAATAGGGAGACAAAGCTGGAGAGTCACGGGGTACTCGCACACAGATGGGGAAGCTAGAGGAATCATTGGCTGGGTAAGGCAGTAAAATAGAAAGCAAGTTTCACAGTTTTTTGAGAAAGCAACATATGTAAAACTATCAACAGTTGAGAAGTGAGAGCTTGACTTTGGCCAACATGTCTAATGCAGCGGCTTTTTCTCCTGCCAGTCAACACTAAAAAGGACTCCGAGTCGGCCCCAGTCAAAGGCGGCACCATGACTGACCTGGGTAAGAGGGAGCCCTAAGCAGGCAGTGCCTGAAGCATGGGAGAGCTCGGCCCACCTTCCCCTCTCCCTCTGTTCCTGCAGAGGCTCTGCCTTACACCCGTCTTCTTTCCCTTCCAGATGAACAGGACGATGAAAGCATGGAGACCACGGGCAAGGTGCAGCCAGTTTAGACAGGCTCTGTCTCTGTGATTAGTTAGGGAGGCTCTACCTCTCTGGGATTAGGATCATAATGTTCCTTCTGCCCAGGCTTTTCTTGCCATAGATTGATTCTAGCTGTTGCTCAAAACTCCAGCCCATTTAGAGTCCCAGGGCCCACAGTGCTCGTCCTCATCCCCCTGTTGGTGTCGTGTTCCTGGGTGTCGGAGAAGCTGAGGGTTGCTCGGTGGGGGTAGGAGTGCCGAGTGTCCAGCAGCTTCCATACTCACAGGATGAGGATGAGAGCAGCACGGGCAACAAAGGGGAGCAGACCAAGAACCCAGACCTGCATGAGGACAACGTGACCGAGCAAACCCACCACATCATCATCCCCAGCTACGCTGCCTGGTTTGACTACAACAGGTAATGCCCCTGCTTATCCCTCCTCCTTCCTCCCTGGTGCTCATCAAAGGGTTGTTCCTCCTGTTGCCGCTCTAGAGCTTAGAGCTGCTTACCAACCCCACCTTTCAGTCTTTCTCCCTTAGGCTCCTTCTCCTCCCCTGGGACCTCCTGACCTGCTGTGATTTGTCTTGCAGTGTCCATGCCATTGAACGGAGAGCTCTTCCTGAGTTCTTCAACGGCAAGAACAAGTCCAAGACTCCAGAGATGTAAGATTTCAGCTTATGATTTTCTTTTGGGGTCCTTTCTGTATTCACCCTTCCAGACTTAACAACCTTCCACCATGCTCTCTGTTAGACTTACAAAGACATGATAGACACCATTACACAGCCACAGCCTAACACTTTAAAACACGTTCTTCGGGGGTTGCCTGAGAATGATAGAGTCGAGCATACTCTTCTGTACAAAACAAAACAAGTACCTGCCCTGTTGTTCCCATTGCTTCAAGTTTTTTTTAACACATGCAGAAAATTTCACTCCATAATTGGTATGTTACCTGAAATTCACATACCCCTAGCATATGAAACAACTTTAATTAAAATGTAAATGATGATTAGGTTGAGAAACAAGTCAGGTGGTGGTGGTACACACCTTGAATCCCTGCATTCAGGAGGCAGAGGCAGGCATATCTCTTGAGTTCAAGGCCAGGCTGGTTCCAGGAGACCCAGAGCTGCAAAGAGAAATTGTATTGAAGTACCAAAACCAAACCAAGACAAAAAACCTAAGATTGGACCAAGCCTGGTGGCACATGAGGATAGTCCTAGCACTTGGGAGGCCAGTATAAGACTCAAATTTGAGAGCCAGGCAGTGGTGGCGCACACCTTTAATCCCAGCACTTGGGAGACAGAGGCAGGCGGATTTCTGAGTTCAGAGGCCAGCCTGGTCTACAGAGTGAGTTCCAGGACAGCCAGGACTACACAGAGAAACCCTGTCTGGAAAACAAACAAACAAACAAACAAACAAAGACTCAAATTTGAGGCCACCCTGCGCTTCCTAGCTAGATTTTGTCAAAGAGAAGAAGGAACTGAGAGGTCTAGCTCTGAGGATTATGATGGGAGTGTGCACTCTAAAAGAGTAGCATGTGTGTGCAGGATCCGGGCTGGAAGACGTAGCTCCATGGTAGGACACTTGCCTAATGTGCACAAGATTCTTGTCTTTGTACCATCATGCATGCCAGAAGGCAGACATGGGCAGATCTCTGAGTCTAAGTCTCATCTGCATAGATGGAGGCCAGCCAGAACTGTATCATGAGACCTGATCTTGAAAATGAATAATAAACTACAGGTTTAGGGCTTATAAGTCGGTGCTTATTGTATCTGATAACTGCGTTCTCCATGTGTCGGGCAGGACACACTCTTCCAGCATCCTCCCACCTTGAGCCCTCAGCAGACTTCTTATTCACCTCTGACTCTTTGAAGATACTTGGCATATGCTGGCTTGTAGTCCTAGCCCTGAAAAGCTGAGGGAGGATTCTGAGTTCAAGGCCAGCTTGGGCTACAGAGTAAGACCATGTATCAAACAAAAAAGAGCTGCTTTAAAGTTGTGTTTTCGGTCAGTTTTCTTGCCTTGGGCTGTGTGTGGAAACCTGTGGTTAGAGCTCACCACAGTGAGCACACAACAAGGTAGGTGAGGCTGGGCGCTGGCACAGTTTGTCTGCCTGCTTCTCAGCCTCCCTCTGTGGGATCATCTGTTTTTAGCTTGTTTCTTTCTCCATAGCTTGGTGTGGGTCTCTTCCTCTGAGGAGAGGGCCAAGTTTGTGGCAGGAAGGAAAAGGCATTGCCAGCCAACATGACCCTGTGGTATGCTGTCAGGAATGGTGAATGGTAACTGCCAAAGAGCTTGCCATCCCAGGCAGAGCCTCCACCATGCGCTGGCTTACTAGTCTAATTGAGGCAAATACACATTATTATCTCTAGCTCATGGAGCAGGATCCTGGCAGGAGGGAGCGTTTGACTTGTTACTTGAATAAGATCATGCAGCTAGTAAGTAGTAGAACCAGAATCTGGATCCTTTAGTGTAAATATATTCTCAAATTTTACATTTTATAATTTTTAATTAATTATATGCTTTATACTTTCATTAATTTTTAAATATTAAGACTCATTTTATTTTAAAAATTAATGTATGTATGTGAGTATGTATGTGAGTGCCATGCCCACAGAGGCCAGAAAAAGGTGTTGGGTCTGTTGGATCTGGAGTTACAAGCCATTGTGCGAGGTCTAGCTCAGGTGCTGGCATCTGCACCCTATCAGCTATGGGCTCCTACAATGCCAGATACTGCTAGTTCTCCAAAGACATCCTGTTTGATGCATAAGGATTTTAAGTTTCAAATAGCTTGACATCATCATGATAAGACTGACATTTGAATTTAGATCTCTCTAACTTTAAAATATAAATTACATCTGTAATCCCAGCACTTGGGAAGCTGAGACAAGATCACAAGTTGTAAGCCAGTCTGGGTTATAAAACAAGTTCCACATTAGCCTGAACTACAGAAAAAATACTATCTCAAGAAAACAAACAAACAAACAAACAAGCATGTGGTGCATGCCTTTAATCCCAGCACTGGGGAGGCAGTGGTAAGTTCAAAGCCAGCCTGTTTTCATAGTGAGTCCCAGGGCAGCCAGGGCGAGTGTGTATAGGGAGATGCTCCATGGTTAAGAGTGTGTGCTGCTCTTGCATAGCACCTGAGTTCGTTTCCCAGTGGCTGTCCTAAGTGGCTTTTGACTAGTTGTACCTCAGCTCCAGGAGGATCTGACAGATGCCCTTAATGGGCATCTACGTGCAAGCACACACCCACACACACAGCTAACCCTTAAAAATACTTTAGATTTATTTCTGTATACTAATGGTTTTCCTACATGTATGTCTGTGCACCATGTGTGTACCTGGTGCCTTTGGAAGTCAGAAGAGGATGTCATGTCCCCTAGCCTAGAAGTTAGAGGTGGTTGTGAGCTGCCATGCAGGTGCCCAGGACTGAACCAGGGTCCTCTGCAAGAACAAGTGCTCTTTGCCACTGAGCCATATCTCTAGCCCCCCAAATAAAATCAATCAGCCTACCTTTCTTCCTTCCTTTCTTCCTTCCTTCCTTCCTTCCTTCCTTCCTTTCTTTCTTTCTTTCTTTCTTTCTTTCTTTCTTTCTTTCTTTCTTTCTCTCTTTCTTCTTCCTTCCTTCCTGTTAAGCATTTGTTCCCTAGAACCCATATGGTGGAAGGAAAGAATGGACTCCTATAAGTTGTCCTCTGACCTCCACACACTTGCCTTGGAGCATACACACACACACACACACACACACACACAACTTATTAATTTTAAAAACATCACCACCACCAAAAAAGGCAAGAAAGAGAGTCAGTTAGATGGCTTGGTGTGTAAAATCCCTGGGTGCCAATCCTGACAGGACAAAGTCCTCATGCATGTCATGGTGCTCATACACACACACACAAAATAAGTAAATGAAAATGAGAGAGATTGAGAGAGAGAGAGAGCATGAGCACGTGCGTTCATAGGATGGTTCAGTGATAAGGACTCCGAGTCTGACGACCTGAGTTTGGTTCTTAGATCCCACATGTTGGAAGGAGAACCAATTCATGAAAGTCACCATCTAACCACTGCATGTGTGCTATAGATTGTGAATGCCTACATACACAGAATAAGTAAGTGTAAATAAGTTAATAAAACTAGTACATGTAAAACTAACTTTAAAAAATGTGGTGTTACGCCGGGGGGGGGGGGGGGGGGGGGTGGGGTGGCGCACGCCTTTAATCCTAGCACTCAGGAGGCAGAGGCAGGCGGATTTCTGAGTTTTAGGCCAGCCTGGTCTACAGAGTGAGTTCCAGGACAGCCAGGACTACACAGAGAAACCCTGTCTCGAAAAACAAACAAACAAACAAACAAACAAACAAACGAGTTACACATATGTGATCGTTGCACTTGAGAGGCAGAGCTGGAGGATCAGGGGTTTAAGACTACCCTCGACTACCTAGCAGATTGAGAGCCAGCTTGGGCTATGTGAGACCTTGATTCACATAGATAAATTTCTAAAAAGTAACTAAGAACCGGGGTGTGGAACTGTGCTGTAGACCAGGTCCTCAGCACCTGGGGTGTGGAACTGTGCTGTAGACCAGGCTGAGGGCCAGCCTGTACTGCACAAGACCCTATCTCAAAATGGTAAGTTAAAAAAAATCATAAATCACAGTTGTAAGAGCCAAAACAAAAGCAGTCCTTAAATGCTGGAGAGTTGGCTCAGTGGTCAAGGACACTAGCTGCGTTTGCAGAGGATCTGCATTTGATTCCCAGCACTTATATGGTGACTTACAACTGCCTCCAACTCCAACTCCAGGGATCCAACAACCCCTTTTTGCATCCTTGGACACCAGGCATGCTTGTCGTACACAGACATATGTGCAGGCCAAGCACCATACACATAAAGTATATTAAAAAGACAGACTTTAAGTTCCTTCTCTAGCATCAGGCTGACTGTTGCATGGATAAGGACTTTGATTTCTGAGTTGGGAAACAAGGGCTTTCCCTCCCCCCCCCCAAAAAAAAAAATCAGGTAATGAGCATGACAATACATCCTGTAATCTCAGCACTCAGGAGGCTGAGATTCCCGGGTAAAATTAAGATGATAGTTCATTTAGTTTAAAAAGCCATCAGGAAAAATACAAGAAGCTTTGTTTTAGATTTACTTATTTTGTGCCTTGAGTGTTTGGCTCGAACGTATGTGTGTGTAACATGTATGCCACACATGCCCGTGTAACACATGTGCCTGGTGCCTGCCCTGGACTTCAGAAGAAAGCATCTGATTCCTGGAACTGAAGCTATGGATGATTATGGGCCACCATGTGGGCGCTGGGAACTGAATTTAGTCTTCTGCAAGAATAGCAAGTGCTCTTCACCACTGGGCTAGGGCCAACCCTTAAGCCCTCAGTGAGAAACACATGAATACTATGCATGCAGCTAGCATGTGTTGGGTCATTAGCACATCTATTATTTTTCTATTAGCACTCTCCTTGGGCCTCAACAAACATTAATTTTCTTCCTCTTACTTGTCTTTCTGACTCTTCTAAGCTACCTGGCATATCGGAATTTCATGATTGACACTTATCGACTGAATCCCCAGGAGTATCTAACATCCACTGCCTGTCGGCGGAACTTGGCTGGTGATGTCTGTGCTATCATGAGGTGGGTCTTACTTCTGAAGAGAAAGAGTTTGAGAGGATATCTGTCTGTATGTCTTGGCAGGGCTGCAGATACTTTCGAAGAAGATAGGGAATAAGCAAGAGCAACACCCCTAGGGAAAGCCTTGTCAGGACAGGTGGAAGAGTGAGTGAGGGTTGGAAATGTGCTGTAAAGGGGGCAAAGGCTGTGGCCTCCGCTGAAAGACAGTTGGATGGGCTTTACTATCTAGGAAGACATGGTCACTAGGCTGCGGCCATGTGTACTTGGGGACCACTGCTACTTAGGTGATGAGTTGGTGATGGGGGATGGGCTCCTCCTTTTTGGCTTCCCCATTTGGCCTAGCCTCCCTTTCCCTTGCAGGGTCCATGCCTTCCTGGAACAGTGGGGTCTTATTAACTACCAGGTAGATGCTGAGAGTCGGCCAACCCCAATGGGGCCTCCACCCACCTCTCACTTCCATGTCTTGGCGGACACGCCATCAGGGCTGGTTCCTCTTCAGCCGAAGCCCCCACAGGTAGGGTGAGGTGTTCTGGGGACAAGGCTGGGTGGGGCGGAGTGGGCTCCTTTGGACTTTTCTTTTTCTGTTTGTTTTTCATTTTTTATGTTTGTAGGGTAGAGATTCCGCAGAGTTGTAGACTTCCTTACTGTGAGGTGGAGAGGGCCGCAGGCGATAGATAGTACATGTTCTCAGTGCTCTCTCAGCCCTGCTACCCAGGCTGGAAGCAGCTGCTGAAGGGGAGAAGTCGTTCCTTGTACTCAGGGAACAGGCAGGCCAGTGTAGGAGAGGAGCAGATAGAGAAAACGGCTTACGATAACTTGTGTAGGATTTTTATACTTTGTCACGTTTCCTGTATTTTTTCATTTTCCCTCATACTTATCACCTTCATACTTTCCTTTTCCATCTCATACATTCTTTAAGATGAGAAGAAGACATTATGTGGCTTACACAAAGATAGTGACTGACCTAAGACTAGGATCTATTGTCCAGCTCCTAAGAGAATCTGTAAAGATTCACGTGACTACAAATGTCTATCATGCCAACTACATGTGTAATTAATCATGGAGGCAGTGTGGAACAGTGGCATGTCTACATGCCAACTACATGTGTAATTAATCATGGAGCAGTGGCGTGAGTGTTCCCGAGCCCATGGGCTGCCCGCCCGGCATTTGGTCTTCAGGCCTCCAAGGCCTTGGCCCATTTCCTGCCCAGCTTCCATGACGCCAAGCTCTGTCCCCCAGGGCCGCCAGGTTGATGCTGATACCAAGGCTGGGCGGAAGGGCAAAGAGCTGGATGACCTGGTGCCAGAGACGGCTAAGGGCAAGCCAGAGCTGGTAGGTGGGGTGCAGACCCCGCTGGGCTGTTTATTTGCCCCTTCACTGGGGGGCCCCTGCCTGGGAAGAAGAGGCAAGAGATCAGAGGAGCTGCAGCAGTAAGGGAGGAAGTCCCGCCCAGGGCATCCCTGGCTTCGGGAAGAAAGCTCCTTCTGTCTGTCTGTCTGTTTCTCTCTCTCTCTCTCTCTCTCTCTCTCTCTCTCTCTCTCTCTCTCTCTCTCTCTCTCTCTCTCTCTCTCTGCCTCTGGCTGCCCTGTGACCACTTACATTTAACCCCCTTTTTTTCCTTCCACAAATAGCAGAGCTCTGCTTCCCAGCAAATGCTGAACTTCCCTGACAAAGGCAAGGAGAAACCAGCAGACATGCAGAACTTTGGGCTGCGCACAGACATGTACACAAAGAAGAATGTTCCCTCCAAGGTACACGGTGCAGCTACCTTGGGGTTGACAGCCTTCGCCCCACATGGCTGAGACTCCTCTGTGCTGACTCCCCCTGCTTCTCCACAGAGCAAAGCTGCAGCCAGTGCCACCCGAGAATGGACAGAGCAGGAGACACTGCTGCTCCTGGAGGTAACTGGGGAGGCAAGGGGAGTTGTGCTGTCCAGACTGAGTAGCTGGGACACAGCTGTCCTATCTTGTGAGTGGGGAGCACCCACAGTCTGCTCTGGCATTGAGGAGCATGAGCTTGCCTCAGTCTCTCCCGTTCCTGGTGCCTGTCACAGGTGTCCCAGGAATAGCTCCAGGTCAGGGATTTAGGCCTGTCTGTAATTCCATATCTTTTCTTAGTGCTACTTGGAGCTCCCCCCTGAATCCAGCAGAGTACAGAAATATCAGAACAGAGAGAGCTCTGAAACCAGCCACCCTTAGTAGGATGGGGGGAGTTGGCCTTCCAGAACAGTGGCTAAGTAAGCGGAGTTGTGTCTCCACCACTACCACCAGGCTCTGGAAATGTACAAGGACGACTGGAACAAAGTGTCTGAGCATGTGGGAAGCCGCACGCAGGATGAATGCATCTTGCATTTTCTTCGCCTTCCCATTGAAGACCCATACCTGGAGGACTCAGAGGCCTCTCTAGGCCCTCTGGCCTACCAGCCCATCCCCTTCAGTCAGTCAGGCAACCCTGTTATGAGCACTGTTGCCTTCCTGGCCTCTGTCGTCGATCCCCGAGTTGCCTCTGCTGCTGCGAAGTCAGCCCTAGGTAATTTGGGGGTGGGTGGGGGTTGGCCTTCTTAGTTTGCTTTTACAGCTAGATACTCAGGTTGAAGCCTCTCAGATCTGCCCTGCTGGCCTTGTCTGTTGCTGCCTTAGCTCAGGCACCTGTCTGGGCTCCGTTTTGGTCTCAGAGAACAAGATAGGCTTGTGAGGAAGCCCTCACAAGCACAGTCAGAACTGCCCACTGCCTTGTCCCAGCCTCTTCCCCTCTGGTCTTACAGAAGAGTTCTCAAAGATGAAGGAAGAGGTTCCCACAGCCTTGGTGGAAGCCCATGTGCGCAAGGTGGAAGAAGCAGCCAAAGTCACAGGCAAGGCAGACCCAGCGTTTGGTCTGGAGAGTAGCGGCATCGCAGGGACTGCCTCTGATGAGCCTGAGCGCATTGGTGAGCACGCGCTCTTAGATTTCTTCCTCCCTGTGCCCTCCCCACCCTGTGTCTGCCCACACTGACATCAGTCACAGCACAGGTGGGAGAGAAGGCCCCTGGGGTTTTGTTTTCCTTCATGACATCACTGTGGGAAATTTGGCTTCTCCTGTCCCTGTCCCTGAGGTTTCAGCTACTGGGAAATTGTTCCGTAAATGAAGCTTACCAGACATTTCTCCTTCTTTCCTTTCTCCATGGGCCCAGAGGAAAGCGGGACTGAGGAGGCACGGGCGGAGGGCCAGGCAGCAGATGAGAAGAAGGAGCCCAAGGTATAGAGGAAATGACCTGGGTCTGGAGGAGGCTGCTGGGTGCAGCCCAGTGGTGACAGAATCCAGGGGCAGGGACACTCTCCTAGAGCTAGATTACCCCTGCACAAGGGGTTCACTGGATAAGAGTACTTGTTCCACAGACCTGAAAACCTGAATTAGAATCCCTCGAACCCACATAAAAACTTTGGCATCATTTTATGTGCCTGTAACCCCATCATTGCGGCACCCCATCGTTGGAGGGCGGACCAACATCTTGTCCTGCTCTGTCTTTGGCATGTGCACACATGAGCTTATACAACTACACAAGTGCATGCACTACTTGCACACACAGAGACAAATAAAGACAAGAGAGTCAGTCACTCTCGAGGCTGGGCCGAGCCCATGAGAGCTGCATCCTCTGATACCTTTCCCCATTTGGAACTACAGGAACCACGGGAAGGAGGAAGCACTGTAGAGGAAGAAGCAAAGGAGGAAATAAGTGAGGCTCCCAAGAAAGATGAAGAGAAAGGGAAAGAAGGTGACAGTGAGAAGGAGTCAGAGAAGAGTGACGGGGACCCGATAGGTGAGCTGCCTCTCCAGAGGGTGAGGGGCACAGGGGAGAGACACGTCAAAAGGCTAATTGAACCTGTCCTGACACAGTTGATCCTGAGAAAGACAAGGAGCCAACGGAAGGGCAGGAGGAAGTGCTGAAGGAAGTGGCAGAGCCAGAGGGGGAGAGGAAAGCCAAGGTGGAGCGAGACATTGGTGAAGGCAACCTGTCCACAGCGGCCGCCGCTGCCCTGGCCGCTGCTGCCGTCAAGGCCAAGGTGAGGGCAGAAGCTGGCACTTTCCTCATTGCGTCTCAGTCTCTCTCTTCTCACTCCTTAAATAATGCTGGCCGGTTTGTTCTCTTCTTATTTTATCCTGAGTGAGTTATCACCAAACTTCTTACCTCTCTTATTAGCTGTTTCCAGCCCTTTAATTTCTTTCACTTGTTTTATCTCTTGCTATTCTTTTTTTATGATATAGATAAAATACATATGTGTATTGTTTCATAATATAGATATATCTAGATCATGAATGTGTTATATAATTATATATTGTGATATAGTACATTATGTATTGTGATATGTAAATAATATAAACTGTATAATATTTATTATACTATGTATTCATATATATAGTACGTATATAAATTACAGTTATGCTATTCTGAGTTGTGATTGCAGCTACTTCCTTCCTAAGCCTGCCAGCATCCGCCCTGCCCTCCCTCCCTCTCCCTGGAGTTTCTGCAGTTGAGCGCTCTGGCTAATCTGACTAATGCCTGCCTCCCTGTTGTGCTCCTTCTTGCCTAGCACCTGGCTGCAGTTGAGGAGAGGAAGATCAAGTCTTTGGTGGCTCTGCTGGTGGAGACCCAAATGAAGAAACTAGAGATCAAACTCCGACATTTTGAGGAGCTGGAGACAATAATGGACCGGGAGCGAGAAGCAGTGAGTGGCACACAGTCAGGCATCAGCAGGAGCCTAGAACCTCCCAGAAGGCTTAGAAATGCCGAGGCTGACACAGGTCACACAGAGGGGAGAAGGGCAGGAAGCCTAAAGGGTGCCTCCTTGGTGGGCTGCTAGTCAGGCTCACTGACAGCTGCATCTCCAGGCCCTCCAGCGATGCTTGCCTCTCGCTAGGTTCTCACAAGTCTGAGTGACTGAGTGGATTTGAGAGATAATAAGAGACTCAGCAGGTAAATTTGGGAAGTTTACGGGACAGACAATATTGATTCATTTTCTTTAAGAAGGCTTAAAAAGAAATACAAGATGGGGACCCCACTCTTAGAGACATCAAATATACAACATGGAGATTTCAGAAACACTTAACAACGCTTAACCTACCGGAAAATTCAGATTCAGAGATCTTCTAGTGGTGTAGCTTAGCAGTTGAGAACAGACTGCTCTTCCAGAGGAACACACCAGTCCCTAGGGTCTTTTCATGGGCACCCTAGAAATAAAGAGAACACTCACATGCACATACCCTCACACAGCCAGACAGACATTACATCATTAAAAATAATTTTTTCTTAAAGATTTATTTATTTCATGTATGAGTACACTGTCGCTCTCTTCAGACACACCAGAAGGGTGCATTGGATCCCATTACAGATGGTTGTGAGCCACCGTGTGGTTGCTGGGAATTAAACTCAGGACCTTTGGAAAAGCAGCTAGTTCTTTTAACTGCTGAGACATCTCTCCAGCCCCTAAAAATAACTTTTTAAGATAAGAGATTTAATTCCAACACTCAGGAGGCAGAGGCAGGTGGCTCTTTGTGAGTTCAAGGCCAGCCTGGTCTGCAGAGTGAGTTCCAGGACAGCCAGGTCCACATAGAGAAACACAGTTTTGAAAAACTAATAAACATATAAAAATAAAATTAAATGCTGGGAGAATCAGAATAAAATCAAAATTCAGAGGCCAGTGAATCCACCTGAAGTGTTTCCCTAAGAAATACTAAGTTGATAGCTGGTTTTGAAGGAAGGAAAGAGCTTGAATTGACAGAAGCCAGAGGCATTTTCAAATCAGAGTAATAACAAATTCAGAGCTTTGAAACTGAAGTGAGCCAAAACCACACCAGATTAACTCCGGTGCAGAGAGGCGCAGTGTGGGCAGTCTCAGGTCTGTAAGGACAGAGGAAGCACACAGTTGAGTCTTGGGGAAACACCAGCATGAGAGATAGGGTCTTTCAAAAGAAGTGGGAGGCAAGGCATTTGCCAACAGTCTTCTGGTACCGGTAACAGTGTCCCATTGGTACTGGCAGCTGGAATATCAGAGGCAGCAGCTCCTGGCCGACCGGCAAGCCTTCCACATGGAGCAGCTGAAGTATGCAGAGATGAGGGCCCGGCAGCAGCACTTCCAGCAGATGCAGCAGCAGCAGCAGCAGCAGCCGACCCTGCCCCCAGGCTCCCAGCCATTACCTCCCACCGGGGCTGCTGGGCCACCCGCAGTCCATGGTCTAGCTGTGGCTCCAGCCGCTGTGGCTTCTGCTCCTCCTGGCAGTGGGGGCCCTCCTGGAAGCCTGGGCCCTTCCGAACAGATTGGACAGGCAGGGACAGCTGCAGGGCCACAGCAGCCACAACAAGCTGGAGCCCCTCAACCTGGGGCAGTCCCACCAGGGGTACCCCCCCCTGGACCCCATGGTGAGTGTGGGCTCCAGAATGTTTGTTTGCTATAGAGTTCTAGGAAAATGTTCTGGCTCCTTTGAAGGGAGTACCTGATGGGCTTGGATACGAAAGTTTGTTGCAGTTCCTACAGGTGGACTCTTGTATTGTATTATGTCCCCAAACTAGCAGGGGTATTTTCCCAAACACAGATCCGTGGAGTTTTATTCCAAGAATCTACAGCTTATTCTAGTGCCAGGAGACAGGGTGCCAGGAGACGGGGTGCAGCTTGTGCTGTAGGCAAGATTCCACTACCTCACCCTGTGTTCTCTTTATTTCTAGGCCCCTCACCGTTCCCCAACCAACAAACTCCTCCCTCAATGATGCCAGGGGCAGTGCCAGGCAGCGGGCACCCAGGCGTGGCGGGTAATGCTCCTTTGGGTTTGCCTTTTGGCATGCCGCCTCCTCCTCCTGCTGCTCCATCCGTCATCCCATTCGGTAGTCTAGCTGACTCCATCAGTATTAACCTTCCCCCTCCTCCTAACCTGCATGGGCATCACCACCACCTCCCGTTTGCCCCGGGCACTCTCCCCCCACCTAACCTGCCTGTGTCCATGGCGAACCCTCTACATCCTAACCTGCCGGCGACCACCACCATGCCATCTTCCTTGCCTCTCGGGCCGGGGCTCGGATCCGCCGCAGCCCAGAGCCCTGCCATTGTGGCAGCTGTTCAGGGCAACCTCCTGCCCAGTGCCAGCCCACTGCCAGGTGAGAGGGGCCAGGAGGGGAAAGGGTGAGGGAGAGGGCTCTACATTATGGGAGGGAGGCGAGTAGGGAAAGGGTTAGATCCTAGAATTTCCACAGCCCTGTTCAATGCTTTGGTAAAACTAGAGCACAGGAGGAAGGCCTCTTTGGCTGGCCTCCATTTCCCAACTTGGCAGCTGCCTCCTCTGGGATGATCAGAGTGGGCCATGGAGGAGTCCAGTGGCTCAGAGGACCTCAGCTGTAAACCTGGAACCTAGCTACCCATCTGCATGAGGATGGCTTTTCTTTGCTTGTTCCCACCATTCAGACGCCCCATTTAGAGTCCTTGGGGAGAGGAGGATGGTTTGGGGTATCAGATTTTTCCAGTGTCAGGTGGAAAAAGAGTGTTGGGAAAAAGAAATTATACACAGTGGGTACCTCATTCATCTGCCTACCCACTGCATGCCATGCCCGGTTCTGTGTGTGTGTGGAGCCTGGGACCAGAGCCATCCCCCTGTACCTGCTCATTTACCTTCCTTTTCTCCACAGACCCAGGCACCCCGCTGCCTCCAGATCCCACAGCTCCGAGCCCAGGCACAGTCACCCCTGTGCCACCTCCACAGTGAAGAGCCAGCCAGCCATCTCTCCCCCTCACTCCCCATGGAGATCACAGTTCCAGGAACAGCCCTCCCCCACTTCTGGGACCCTCCCTCAGCCTGGAGAGTTCATCACTACGTAAGGAAAGCTCCTCCTGCCCCTTCACCACCCCCACCATGCCCAGCAGAGGTGTGCAGTTTTATATCCAATTATTATCCACGGACTTCTGACTAAAAGATGTTTCTAATGCCTGGGAGAAAGGATAGGAGGGAAAGATGTTTATACGAGGTTCTACTAACTGGTTCTGAGGGTGTACCCCTTCAGAATTACTGCATTTTTGAAATGATAACATGAAAATGAAACCCTTTAAAAGGGAGGTTTTAAAAAGACACATCAGAGCCCACAAAAAACTTTTTTTAATTATTATTTTTAGGGGAAAGGGCAGGTTTTAAGAGGAATTAAAGTTTTGGGGCAAGCTGTGGAGATGGAATAGGGCACTGAGCCTGTCTCCCTGAGCCCCTTGGCAGTGCCGAGTCAGCCCCTCACCCATTCCAGTTTATTCATACTAATCCCTCCTGCTGCTCGTCATGGTTGCTGTTTTAGGCCCAGCTCAGCCAATGACCTTTCCCTCAGAGTGTCAGCTTTGTGTTTGTGTTTAAGTCACCTGCTTACTCAGTCAGCGTCTGTGTACTTGTGGGAAGTGTAGTTTGCGGGGATTCTGTGGTAGGTAATAGAGGAAGAAGGGGCCTCAGTCGGGCTCTTCTTCCTGCGTTCCTGGTTGTATCTGTGAGTGCCCAACAGGCATCAAAGGGCTCTAAGAGGATGGGGAGTCTGCCAACCTCCAGGTTTGAAAAGCACTTAAGCACCTACCTTTGACAGTGGGACAGTCTGCTAACTTCTGCCCTCACCACCAAGTCCGACAGAGCCCAGGGATAGCTAGGAGTTCCCAAATGAGGACAAAGATTTGGGAGCAGCGCAACGTGGCTCTGCTCCCAGGACTTCAGTGCCTCCGCACTCCAGGTCTCCCTCCTCACCCTCGGTGTGGAGGCAGACACAGTTCCAGGCCCACCAGTGCTTGGCCCCTCCCACCAGGCGCTCTGCTTCTCCTGTCCCAGTGTTTTCCTTCCTCTGCATCTCCGCACCTTTCTTCTGTTCAAAGTCTTCTGTAAAATTTTCTTTTCTTCTTTGTTCTTTTCTTTTTCCTTATTTTTTATAAATTAATTTGCTTTCAGTTCCATCTTGTGGATGCCTCTGTGTTCTCTTACCTGTGGCTGCTAGGCAGGGAGCAAACTGGGCTAGGGGCAGCCTTCCTGGAATCCCTCACTGGACATTCACCAGGGCTGCAGAGGCACTTTGAAAGCAACAGGCCCACAGACTGTCAGCCTCTTGCACAAAAGGCCAGAGACCACACAGCAATTAGGAATACAGCAGTGGTAGCTCATATCTACTCAAGATAAGCTCTTGGAAGCCCATCCCCACAGCATGGATCTGATCCTTGTAGACAGTGGCTACATTCCCTCCCTTATTAGGGAGGAGGCAGGCCCGCACCTACTTCTGTTGCTTTGGCCCCCAGCCCTGCAGCTGCCGAGACGGGTTGGGCAGTACTAATATGTCCTGGCATTTCAGCTTCAGTAAACATTTGAAGGCTTTTCCCCAAAAGGTGTTTGGTACTTGGGTGGGTGGGGACCTGGTTCAAAGAACCCCAAGGATCAGGAGTTTTAACCTGGCAAGGGATACACACACACACACACACACACACACACAGCTACCTTGATCCTATAGGGATTTATGACTTTCTTCATTTCCCAAAGGGAAGCCTTTCATTAATGAGGCTATGGTTACTAACTACAAGCACTTAATCCAGCTTTCCCAAAACCCCTGCCCCAGCTTGACCTTTGTTTCAGGGTAGACATCATTACCACCTCACCTTTTCCTCCTCACCCTGCTCAGGAAAGAAAGAACCAAAAGAGCAAAGAAAGCAAGTTTTATTTGGTGAAGGCAAACAAAAAGAAACCAGATGGGCAAGGTGCTGTGATAGGAGCCTCTGGGGCCACACAGAAATGTCACACCGGGCAGGGACCAGGCTCGGGATACAGAAATGTCCTCAGCCATTCAGCACCATCCGGACAAGCTCTGTAGAGAGGAAAGATGGAGTCAGCCAAGGAGAGGGCTGGGGAGGGGTACCTATGGGCCAGGAGACCACAAGACCATGAAGGTGGCAGGAGGGAACACGCCCATAGCAGCCAACCTTGGGTCAGTTTCCAAAAGAGCCACCATGAGTGGCCAGTTCTCTCTGTCCCTGGTTCCCCTCCCACCAGCTGTTAGCCCCCACCCCACTCTAAAATAGCAAGAACATAGCAGAGGCAAAAAGTTCTCAGCTACACCTATAGTTATGTCAGCCACTGGCAGGAGGAGAGGTCAGTTTTGGGTTAGGGTACCTCCAAGCTGTCCAGTAAAGGGATAGAAAAAGGACTTTTTGTTTTAGTAGCAGAATGGGGCCAGTAGCCCCCCCACCCCCCGCCAACTCTCCATGCTCCAAAGAATCACCATAAGACAAGCCCTCTCTACAAGCTGGTGAGAGTTCCCAGACACCAGCACCAAGACCCCTGTAAGTCAAAGCTCAGAGACCATTCTAGGAGAGGAGGTACCACACCCCCAAACTGCTTTCCTCATTGAGGAATTCCTCCCCTCTCAAGCCAGCTCCATGCAGAATCATGCCAGGAGGAAGTCAGATGGTAGTAGGGTATGGGCAGGGGGCTAAAGAGCACAGGTTGGGAAGAAAAAGAAACACTAGGGAGATAACTAGAGGAGAGGCTGTGAGGAGCCGTACCCGCCCCATGGGCCCGTCACCCCGACAGGATATGCCTCACAAATGCTGCAGGAAGGAAGAGACATTCTTGGTGAAGACAAGACACAGACATAGGGTGAAGGGGTCAGGCAGTGGGGATAGACATTTTGTTTACTTCCCATTCCTAGCCCACCCTTCATACTTCACCCCTCCCTTTACTGTCATGTCCTCAACAGTTCCCTCCCAGGCTGGACTGAGCCTTGCCCCCTTGACTCCTGGCTCCCTTCTGGAACCAAGTCTAGGAATACAATGTCTCCTTAACATGCCCTGAATGACCAGTTTCCTCAGAGGCCCCAGTTTCTGGTTTGGCCCTCACCTTCGTAGTTGATGCAACCGTTGCTGTCCTCGTGCCCCGCCACTAGCATCTCTACTTCTTCCTCTGTCATCTTCTCACCTGCAGAGGAAGGAGCACTCTTAGAACTGGGTGACAGGTGAAATAGATCAAGGTGGCAACTTAAGTCTAGAACACAGACCCTTACCCAGTGTGACTAAGACATGACGGATTTCAGCACCCATGACGGTGCCATTCCCTTCCTTGTCGAACACACGGAGGCCTTCAACATAATCCTCATAGGTTCCCTGGTCCTTGTTCTTGGCCACGGTCTGCAGCATAGGCAGGAAGTGCTCAAAGTCCAGCACCTTCACATTCATCTCTGTCGTGTGGGAGGTAGAAGTGTCAGACAAGAGAAATGACACACACATGTTCTCAGGACACAGTGGTGGAGAACACAAGCGACTGGCCGGAACTGGCCGAGACAAAACTTGCTCAAGTTTGGCACTTACAAAGATAAAGGGATGCTTTTAGCTGAACAACCATGAACCCACTAAGTTCTTGAAATGCTCACCATCACTCTTGGGGTTCCCCAGGACCTTGAGCACCTCGGCGTTGGTAGGGTTCTGGCCCAGGGCCCGCATCACATCCCCACACTGGCTGTACAGGATCTTGCCATCGCCTGTTCGGTCAAACAGCTGGAAAGCCTCCTTGAATTCTGAGGATTCAGATGAACAGCAGCACCAGGGATCAGCCCAGTGCTTGCTGCACAGTTCTGGTGCCAATGCAACTTCAGTCACACTGCAGAAACCAGATATCTCGTCCTCCTGTACACTGAACACTGCTCCCAGGGATCTAGTTCTATCAGCTCAAATGCCCCACATAGACACCCAGCCTTCTTTCCCTTACCTCAGGGCGGTAGCCATCTGTTTACACACCCCCTGAGCTGCAGCAGGCTAGGCTCTCCACCACTACTATACTACTCGCAGGAATTTGCCACCGCCCAGGCTAGATCCTGCCCATATAAGGAAGTAGGAGCAGTGGCCTGGACTCTAGCCTCCCACTCCCACCCTTCCCCTCCAGAGACCTTCCAGGAGGTGAAGCTGAGCCACATCCTTAGCAAACTCTCCAGTCCCCATGTTAACAAAATATCAAGTCATTGCTCTTTACAGTACTCACAATCCAAGCTCAAGGAGGGGGCAGTTATCAGAGGAGAGGCCAAAAGCAGAACACAAGCATAATAGACCCGACACACAACAGGCATCAATCAAACTGTTTCACATTACCCACACCACCTAAAACTCACCCTGTGCTTGGGGCTCAGATCTAGAGTGAAAGGGGAAGCAAGAAAGAATGAGAAAAGAAAATGGTGGGTCTAGAGCAGAGGAGAAGGAAATCCTGGGATTGCTGGAGATGACAGGCTGGGATCAGAGGATAGATGCTAGAGGAAGGGGCCCCTCTCGGTAAGGATGGCCTCAGCTGCGGGTCAGAGACTGCCTACCTGCGGTCTGGTCCTCGGTGAAGTCACACTGCTCGGAGAAGAAGGGATTGGTCAGTACCCGAGGTCCAACCCCGCGAGCTTCCATCCCGGCTTTACAAACTCCTGTTTGAAGCAGAGGACTCGCTTCCCAGGGCAGAGCCTTACACCTTCCAACCCCACATCCAACCTTCCAAAACCTGGGCGTGCCCACGTCCACTGCTTTCTCTACCCCCACCCACGGTCCTCTCCTTGCCCCAAATCCCCCTAATCTCCCGATTCCCAGGGCCCACCATCTTGGCTGCTGAGCTCTGCGGGACCTTTTCCGGCAGAAATGGCTCCGACTCCGGACCCAACCCCAGCCTTAGTACGTCCCACGGCGCATGACGTCACCCTCCGCAGTTTCATCCAATAGGCATCCTAGCCTGGGCTCATGCAGATGACATCACTACATTAGTAATGAGGTGGGGGGGGAGCGCCCTACCTCAGCTCAGGAACCTAGCAGGGGCCTGGGGTGGGACTCTTGGAAGCCTTTCTTCTGAGCTGCACCAAGAGCAGGGGATTCGGGCTTTTGCAGAAGAGAAGCCTACCCGCTCCCCTCCTTCCCCTTTCTCAAAAGAAAACAGTCGGAAACCAAACCAGGAACCACGTTTTTATTCAAAACTGTCAGTGCCCCCTAGTGGCAGGAACGCGCTTCTGGCCACACCGGAGGTGGGGCAAATCTCCGACACTGCAGGTTCTACGTGGGGTGGGGCGGGGTGGGAAGAAAGTTGTCCAGCCCTGGCGGCTGCGCTCCAGTCGGACGGGGAAACGCACTGCCTGCGCTTCTGACCGTTTGATCGAGGACCCTTGCCTCTCAAGAGGACACTAGGGGCTGGAGGACCATTGCGGAGCTCAGAGGCTTAGGATGTGCTTCAGGAAGGCTGCACAAGAGGAGACCAGAGGACTTCAGAAACTGACCTTCGGGTAACTGAGGGTCCTCCCACCCACCTCAAGACTCCTCACCCCCGGGTCATCCTGCCCCCTCACCCTCATAGTTGATGCAGCCGTTGCTGTCCTCGTGGCCTGCCAGAACAGTCTCTACCTCTTCCTCAGTCATCTTCTCTCCTGAACCCAAAACAGTTAGAGCCCCCGACTTCCATGCCTCACTAAACCCAAGCCACTCTCAGGGTGGCTCGACCTCCCACCCTGCCCTTTTTCTTTCCATAAGGCACATATCAACAGTGCCTTGGAGCTGGTGAAAGCCTTGAACAACAAGCTTCAGGGGTTGAGACTTGCATGGACACAAGTGTGGCTTGCAAAGAGGGACACGAGGCTCCCACCGCATTCCCTGCCCTCGGCTCACCGTTGGACACTTTAGCCTCTAGATGATCGAGTCCCTCAAGTTCTGCCTTCACAATGCTGGCCCTCTGCAGGGCCATAAGCCCATTCCAGGCTCTACCTAGCTCTTCTAGGTCCACCCACTTCTCCACCCCACAGTTCGGGGCCCTGCCTCACCGAGAGTGGTAAGGACATGTCTGAGCTCCGCTCCCATGACTTTGCCGTTGCCCTCTTTGTCAAACACACGAAGCCCCTCTAGGTAGTCCTCATATGTGCCTTGGTCCCGGTTCTTGGCCACTGCCTGCAGCATGGGCAGGAACGTCTCAAAGTCTACACGTCGGGACTTCAGCTCTGGCAGTTAGACAGAGGTGAGAGAAAAGGGGGTGGAGATATCACTGAGGTGTGGGATCCAGTGTCATCCAACCCTACTAGAGTGACTTTCACCCCCTTCAGCATTCAGGATGTTTTCCTTCCCTGTGCTTGATAGTTTTTGAGTCCTGAGATCCATCCCAGCATCCTCTGTCACTTTACCAATATTCTGTCATTGAAAATCGATATTGTTACCAGGCCTGGCGGGGCAGTTTTGTAATCACAGCTACCGGGCAAATTCAAAGCCAGCCAGAACAACTTAAGACTATCTCAACAGAAAAAAAAAGAAGGAAGGGTGGATGAAGCAGGACACACTCAAAACCCAAAACAGAGAGAACTGCTAATCCACGTGTGGTGGCCACACCTTCAGTCCCAGCACTGAGGCAGAGGAAGGCAGATCTCTGAGTTTGAGACAGCCTAGTCTATATAGTGAGTTCCAGGCTAAGCAGGGCTATGTAGAGAGACCCTGTATAATATTATTATTATTAATAACAACTATCAGCCGGGCGGTGGTGGCGCACGCCTTTAATCCCAGCACTTGGGAGGCAGAGGCAGGCGGATTTCTGAGTTCGAGAGTTCGAGGCTAGCCTGGTTTACAGAGTGAGTTCCAGGACAGCCAGGGCTACACAGAGAAACCCTGTCTCGAAAAAACAAACCAAAATAATAATAATAATAACAACTATCCAAATAATAATAATTAAAAATTTAAAAAGAAAGAAAACTGGGGCTTAGGGCTGCTAACTGTAGGTTCCAGGCCAACCTGAGTAATTTGGTGAGCACCTGTCTCAAAAAGTAAAAGTACCTCAGTAATAAAGGGCTTGCCTGGCTTGCCTGAGGCCCTGGATTCAACCCAGCACCACATAAAGTGGAGTAATTCCACCACTCCAGTGGGCAGTAGACAGGAGGTGGAGGTAGGAGGGACAGAGTTTAAGTTCACTCTTGGCTGGGATACTGAAATCCTGTCTCAAAAAAAAAAAAAAAAAGGATGAAGAGAAAGTTGCTGGCTAGAAATGGGTTCAGTGGCCCAGGCAGAACCCTGTATTCAACCTCCAACATCAAGAAGAAGAAAACTGAAACCCCACAAATCTCAAGGTTCCTCTCACCATCACTCTTGGGGTTCCCCAGGACCTTGAGCACCTCAGCATTGGTAGGGTTCTGGCCCAGGGCCCGCATCAGGTCCCCACACTGGCTGTACAGGATCTTGCCATCACCTGTTCGGTCAAACAACTCGAAGGCCTCTCTGTACTCTGAGATGTAAGGAGAAGGCAATGTGACCAGGGATTCCCATCACCTCCAGACAGAAGGGAGGTTTGCTTCAGAAATTATGTGCTTGGGCTGGGCACGGGAGGGAGGAGAACAGGACAAGTGTGGGAGGTTTCAAGGTCAGGACTGTCGTTAGGAGAACAGAGAATCTGACCAGGAGTCTGGGGTTGGACAATAGGGCTTAGGAAATGGGCTTCTCCTCACCCTCCAGCTGGTCCTTGTTAAACTCGATCTGTAGGGGACAAAAAGGGCAGGTGAGGAGATGACAGGGCTTATTCAGTCCCTCTCTACCATAACCAACTGGCAGCCACTTCTGGGGAGGGGCTCAAAGAGATGAGGCTGGGAGCCTGGCCACTTTAGTCCCATTCCCAGCTCTGGGCCTTGGGAGAATCCCAAGAGGAATTATACGGGGAGGGTTTCTTGGGAACAGGGTTAATCCCATGCCACCTGTTCCCTTCCCTCCTGCTACCCCGAGTTCTGCATCCCTCACATAACTGGGGGCTGAACAAAGGCTAAATTTACCCCTACCCCCAGCTGTGATTGTCTAACAAGTCTGTCCTCTTCAGTCTCTCCTCCTGGGGTTCAGAGATGTGGCCTTCTGAGTTGAACAGGGGGCCAGACAGCACCTCTCTCCCTTCACTTTGGAAACTGGCCTGGCCGGGGAGCCCCAGCCTCATTCCAGTGTTCATTCATTCCCTACCCTTTCCACATATTCCCTGATCCCCAAGGCTGCACTGCATCTGTGAACTATGCCTTCCAGATTTACGCTTCCTCAGGACTCCCCAGAACTCACCACCACTTTGGAGAGATCAACAGGGGGCTCCTGGGTTTTTGCAGGGGTCTGGGGAGCAGCCGACTCAGCCTTGGTCTTGGCTAGAGGGGTCCCTGCCGTAGACTTGGCAGCAGGCTTAGAGATGGAGGGCCCTGCTGGTTTCTTCACCGGAGCATCCTTCTTGGGAGGCATGATGTCAGGTGGCCGAAGAACAATGTGCCGACGGGGGCACCCATCTCTGTTTAAATAGGCAGGGAGTCTGGGATGTCAAGGGGCGGGGGCAGCGGCAGGGACAGGGAGCCAGTTGGCAAGGGTGAGGGAGAAGAGACTTATGCCTGTCTGCCCTCACTCCTCTGGCCTCCTGTGGTTCAGGACTCCTGCCCCCAAAGTATTCTTTCCTCTGACACCACTCCCCTAAAGCAGAACAGAATGTTTTCTTTAAGGGAAGAAACAAGAACAGGGACTGTTAACCTCCAGGGTGAAGATAGGATGTTTGCCAGTGATTCTGAGATAGGAGCTAAGGGAAGAGGGGAAAAAAACTAAACTAAGAAACAAACAAAAACTTGCCTTAGTTTTAGACCGTGGAAAAGCCCAAGCAAGCCAAGGACTCAGGGTGGAGTGGGGGTAGAGGAGGGGGGTCTGGCGTCAAGTGGGAAGTTTTAAAATGTGTTCTGAGAATAGTAAAAGGTGAGAGAGAGAAGGAGGCCTTTTCACTCCCTTCTGCCCATTCCCTTATCCTTAGAACTTACAGTCCCTGGGCCCCCACCTACCCCCAACCTGGAACTATGTACCAGAGCATGGCATTACCCACTGTCTGCTATACCTAATGCTGATTTAGGGGTTCCAGTGTAGGCAAGGTTTAACATCTGTCACACATAATTCTAAAGAAGGAACATTTTCCAACAAGACACAATGTTATTCAAACCAGACAAAAGGCTAGGACGCCTAATGAACATGGAAGAAACACAGACACACACACACACACACACACACACACACACACACACAGAGGGAGGGGGCCCTGGGAGACAATAAGCCCTCTAATATCCCAAAAGGTTACAGGATCTCCTAAGTAGTTCATAGGTATTCACTGGCACAACACCAATCAGGATCACAACAAAAACCTTAGCTCAGCTTGGAGTCACAAACCTTGCTGGAAGCACTGGCAAAGGGAAAGAATGACGTTTAGGAGCTAGAATGAGTTTCTGGTTACTCTGTTCTTGGATAAAGAAGATTTAGGTAGCATTATGAGAGACTGGTCATTCCACTTAGGCCTCGGAGTTCACAGAATAGCAGTGTGTCTCCCATTTGTAAAAGGGCGTCAGAATCTTTTTACTGCAAATTGTCCCATTTTTGGAAAATAAGGAATCCTTCCGCAAACAACACACCTGTTTCCCACACTTACACTCACTCCTAAGCCTTAGAGAGGAAAAAGGCCCTCCCAACCCCTCAAAACTCACCTTGCCGGGTCCGAGGAAGGGGCAGGTGGGGGGCGGGACTCAGGGCAGCTCCGGTCCCTGAAGGGTTAACTGCGGCGGCCGCAGAGCATGCTGGGAGTTGTAGTCCGCGCGCACCCGCCGGCTCACAGGAAACCTTTCCGCAGCGGTGAGAGTTGGCGGTGACTTCCGGCCCGTGGTGGCAGTTGGTGACTCAGGCTCTGAGGCGTGCGCCGGTTCCGGAATTGAAAGGGCTTGAGCAATCCCCACCCATGACC